TGAAAATTAAATTTAATAATTTTTGTTTTTCGAATAAATTCTTCCCATTGTTTACCATCAATTAAATCTAATTTGATAACAATTGTTAAAGATTTTAAATTTAATAATTTCATAAGGTAATTTTGAATGTACTCAAATGAAAAAGTTTTATTTATTAAACAAGTCATTGTAAGATTTGTAAGACAATGAGATAAATAATCAAAATTAGGTATTGAATTCGAGTCTATTAAATTTTCATTTTCAATAGAAAGTTTTAAATGATTGATTGGTGAACGAAGATTTTTAATTAATAAATGATAATCGTTGGAAGACGATCCCTTGTTTTTTAAAAAACAACAGAAAATTTTCATTCCAACATGACCAATATTTAAATAAGTGAGAGAAGGAAATGTAATATCAATTGATTGCAATACATGAAAACAATCAATTTTCAAATAAGTTAAAGATTTGGCTTGTTTTACAATAGTTTCAACAAAAAGTTGACTAACATATGTACAACCTTGAAATGTAAGAGCTGAAACTGAATATGGTAAATCCAATAGAATATCATCTGTTCGAATAAATTTTATAGAACGAAGATTAATAAATTGATATTTAAAATTTGGAAAATATCGTTGAAAAACAATAACTTGATCACCCATATTATCGTCTGAGAATATAAGTGATATGACTTGTTCAGGTCGAAGATAATAACAAATATAATCAAATTTTAATCGAGAAATATTTCGTAAATCAATTTTTAATGGATATATATTAATAATATAATTTAAACGATAATTGAGATTAATAAAAGCATGAAATATATCATAAGTTGATAAATAATCAAATATTTCATATAAAATTTCTGTTGAAAATAATTCAAATCGAGAATTCATTTTTAGAAATAAATCAACTGTATCGATTTTTTTGTTTTCTTCAAATAAATAAAAATGGGTAAAAATGTTCGTATAGTAGAGAATGATTCATATTATACATTCAATAAAGAAAATATCTCTTTTGTGATTGGAGTAGATTATTAAAGGACAGGAGTGCATAATAGGCGAAATCGATTCATCAGGATTCTCCAAAGTAACCCTATTGAATCATATATAATTCAATATCTAAGTTCACATGATAATAATAAATGTTAGATTTGTGGTGTGACTAAAGACTTTTTTGATTCAATTTGTTTAGCCAATTTGAAAGACAATCTTATAATGATTATCTAAAAATTCATATAACTATAATATATATATATATATATAAATGAATGATATAATATAATTACTGTAAGTATGTAAGAAGCAATACAAACAATAACAGCAACGACAATACCTATTGAAAGACGAACCTTGAGATTCTTGTCCTCATCATGATTTATCGTCTTTTTGAGAAGAAATTAAGATATGAATAATCAAGGCAATAGCAATAATAATTCCAATACTAAATATAACCATTGCTATTATACTAATCCAAGCAAACTATAGAAATTAAATATAAATAAAGTATTTTATCGATAAACTATTTATTTAATATTTTATTTTAGCTCATTTCGAGGAATGTTCAAAAATAAATCTCTATCTACAAGATTTTCTAACAAAGATACTTATCGACAATTGATTTTTATAGGGTGTGGGTGTGGGTGTGGGTGTGGGTGGGTGTGGGTGTGGGTGTGGGTGTGGGTGGGTGTGGGGTGTGGGGGTGTGGGGTGTGGGTGTGGGTGTGTGGGCGTGGGTGTTGATCACCCCTTAAACAACACCCACATTCACACCTACACTCACACCCACACCCCACCGACACCCACATCCCACCCACACCCACACGCACGCCCCACCCGCACCCCGCATCCACACCCACATCCACACCCACACCCCACCTACACCCACACCCACATCCCACACGCACACTCACACCCCTCTCCTTCACACTCAGATTGCATGAAAAAATACGTGTCTGGTCACCAGAATATTTTTTATTGATTCAGGGATCACAAATAGGCAACTTATCTGAGAATTGATTTAGGGAACCACAATTCAGGGCAAATGATAATCTACCTAGAGGATGGTGTTGCATTCTGGTCTATGTAATATAGTGCGTATTTAAGAAAAAAGTCCCTAAATTGAAAGGTCCCTAAATAAAAGTTCCTACTTGGTCATCACGATTGACCATTGGTGTTTAATTGTCCGTAAATGGAGACCCGATGTAGGGACGAATTTGGGGACCAGAATTCAGAGCAAATGATAACCTACCGTTAGCATTGACCACATGTTCCCTAGACTGAAAGGCTAGGGTCTAGAAACCATAATTCACGTGTGTCTGTATGTCCGTCTGTTTGTCTGTAACAAGAACTTGGCACAAATGACCATTTCTATGGCACAAATGACCATTTCTACGGTACAAATGACCATTTCTGTGGCACAAATGACCACTTTTATGGTGCAAATGACCATTTTTATGCCACAAATGAACATTTCTATGGTACAAATGACCATTTCCATGGCACAAATGATCATTTCTATGGCACAAATGACCATTTTTATGGTACAAATGACCATTCCCATGGCACGAATGACCATTTCTATGGTACAAATGACCATTTGTATGCCACAAATGACCATTTTTATGACACAAAAGACCATTTTTATGGCGCAAAAGACCGTTTTTATGACACAAAAGATCATTTCCAAAGGCACAAAAGACCATTTCTATGGTACAAATGACCATTTCTGTGGTACAAATGACCATTTCTATGGCACAAATCACCATTTTTATGACATAAATGACTATTTCCATGGTACGAATGACCATTTCTATGGCACAAAAGACCTTTTTTCTGGCACAAATCACCATTTCTATGGCACAAATCACCATTTCTATGGCATAAAAGACCATTTTTATGGCACAAATCACCATTTTTATGGCAAAAAAGACCATTTCCATGGCATAAATGACCATTTCTGTGGTACAAATGACCATTTCTATGGCACAAACGAGCATTTCTATGGTACAAATGACCATTTCTTTGATACAAATGACCATTTATATGGAACAAATGACCATTTGTATGGCACAAATGACGATTTTTATGACACAAATGACTATTTCTATGGTACGAATGACCATTTCTATGGCACAAAAGACCATTTTTATGGCACAAATCACCATTTTTATGGCACAAATCACCATTTCTATGGCATAAAAGACCATTTTTATGGCACAAATCACCATTTTTATGGCACAAATCACCATTTTTATGGCAAAAAAGACCATTTCTATGGCATAAATGACCATTTCTGTGGTACAAATGACCATTTCTATGGCACAAACGAGCATTTCTTTGGCACAAATGACCATTTCTATGGAACAAATGATCATTTCTATGGCACAAATCACCATTTTTATCGCACAAATCACCATTTTTATCGCACAAATGGCCATTTTCGTGGTATAAATGAGCATTCTTGTGATACAAAGTGCCATAGTCGTGGTACAAGTGACGTTGTCAAGGTACAAAATACCATAGTCGTGGTACAAGTGACCATTGTCATGGTAGAAATTACCATTAGTCGCGGTAGACGTTGCTGTTGTCATGGTACAAAGTACCAGAGTCGTGGTACAAGTAAGCATATTGATGGCAGAAAATACCAAAGTCGTGGTACAAGTGACGATTGTGATGGTGCAAAGTATCATTTTCAGGGTAGAATTGACCGTTGTCATGGTACAAAGCATGATGGGCCGTGGTACAAATGATCATTTTTATTGTGCAAGTGACCATTGTGATAGTACAAAGTACCATAATCGTAGTATAAGTGATTGTTGCTATAGTGCAAAGTATCGTGAGTCGTGGTAAAACTGACCATTTATTTTGACATAATTGACCATTCTTGTGGCTCAACTCAGTTTCTACGGTGTAATCAACCATTTCTATGGCACAGTTGATCATTCTTATCTGCGGAATGAGCGTGTCTGTGTCACCACTAGCTAGATCCGTATTAGAAATGATCAGTGCTATGGGATAAATAACCATTGCTAGTCCTTAGAATCAACTAACTCATAGGCTTTATCACGTACATTGGCATCTTGCAATATTTTATGTCAACTGTTTGAATATATCTTTAGTATGTAATATACAACATTTTGCAAATATCAATGATTTGTCCTAAACTCATCATAGCACAGAATTCATTTTTATTAAAAAACATAAGGGCATCTGTGTCATCATTCCGTCAGTCTAGGGCCCAGTGAATCGACTTTCAATGTCGATGAACCTTACTTGTGTTCAACTAGCGAATGCTTTACAAACAATGACCACGACAATCCCATTTGAAGATGTACAAAGAACATCGATTCAGATTATTCAATGCGTCAACAATGTTTTCAATGTAAGACTGTCATGGC